CGTCAAAAATCTCCCTGAACCGCCGTCAAAAATTTCCCTGGAACCGCCTTAGAAAATCTGGAACCGCTGTCGAAAATCTCCCTGGAACCGCCGTCAAAAATCTCCCTGAAACCGCCTTAGGAAATCTGGAACCGCTGTCGAAAATTTCCCTGGAACCGCCGTCGAAAATCTCCCTGGAACCGCCGTCAAAAATCTCCCTGGAACCGCCGTCAAAAATCTCTCTGGAACCGCCTTAGGAAATCTGGAACCGCTGTCGAAAATCTCCCTGGAACCGCCGTCAAAAATCTCCCTGGAACCGCCGTCAAAAATCTCCCTGGAACCGCCGTCAAAAATCTCCCTGGAACCGCCGTCAAAAATCTCCCTGGAACCGCCGTCAAAAATCTCCCTGGAACCGCCGTCAAAAATCTCCCTGGAACCGCTGTGGAAAATCTCCCGGAACGGCTATCGAAAATCTTGGAACCGCTGTCGAAAATCTACCGAGATGACTCAAGAAAATCTCCTGGGATGACTGACAAAAATCTTCTGGGATGACTGACAAAAATCTTCTGGGATGACTGCCGAAAATCTACTGGAAATATTAACTAGGATCACTGTAGAAAAGCACCTGGGATCACCGTAGAGGACTAGGAAAACAGTAGAAGAGCAACTAGGAGTCAAAGAAATTGGACTGCCGTTATATCAAATGGAGCCACCGTCGGAAAGCACCTTGGACCAGCGTCGAAGAGCACCTTGGGCCAGATTTGTTGCACGCGTGAGAAGGAAACAAACGAAGACCACTTACGACCTCATCTTCGTTGACAATTAACTTTCATTATCAAGAAAGACCTAAACAAGAAGTCGATATTGCGCCAGCATTGCGTGGCAGATCAGAGTGTGGCATTGGCACCGCAAGCATATGACATCATCGGGACCAGTAGCGTATGGCATGGGGATTAGTAGCTTGTGGCATCGGGATTAGTAGCTTGTGGCATCGGGATTAGTAGCTAGTGGCATCGGAATCAGTAGCTTGTAGCATCGGGATCAGTAGCGTGTCGCATCGGCACCAGTAGCGTATGGGAGATCCTTGTAATGTTGAGGATATCTATATCAGGGTCTGCTAAGGAAGTCAGCACTAAAAGGCAAATGTCATTAGAAACGATCAGCGAAGACTTGCGTGAGGAACATCAGGGCGTAGATGAGGAACATCAGGGACGTAGGCGAAGAACATCAAGGATGTAGGTGAGTTTCTAGCACCACCATAACCAGTAATCAGCACCGTTGACATCGCGACCATTTTCTTTCATGAATATAACCATCGGGATCGTCGTTCAAAACCATGGGGAGCGTCGTTCAAAACCATGGAGAGCGTTGTCAAAAGCATGGGAAGCGTCGTCAAAACCATCGCGACTATTTTTTAAAACCAGCCAAGATAATCAGGACCATTCTCCAAAACCATCGGGAACCACTCCTTAATAGCATTGGAACCATTGTCTTATAGTATCGGGGTAGTCGAAGAGCTTCGATACAATCGTCAAGAGTCTCGGTCGAAAATCTTCGAAATCTTGGTAGAAGAGCATCTGGCCATCGTCAAAGGGGTTCGGTGTGATCTACCGCCTAACAGCACCAATTCCCGGAAAAGAACTATCGGCAAAGACCATCAGGGAAGATGTGAAAGATCACCATCTGGAACTATGGAACATCGGGAACCACCTCTAAATCCAGGAGCATCGGCGACCATGACTGAAGAACAGAAATTCAGGGGCATCGGCAATCATCGTTGAACATCCAAGAGCATCAGGGCCAGCGTTGAAGAACATTGAAAATCATTATATCAAATACATTAGGGTGATCAGTAAGTGTATCAGGAACGACCATCCAAAAGTATCCCAGAACATCGCGGAGACCATTATTATGAGCATCTGGGCGATTTTCCAATAAAATAGCTGGGATCAAAAGCCTTGGAGTCATTGGCATCATCATCGTAGGGCAGCCATTGTCGAAAAGGGGTATTGGGACCATCATCGAAAAGGGCATCGGGACCATCGTCGAAAAAGGCATCGGAACCATTGTAGACATCGTCGAAAAAGGGCATAGAGACCGTCAAAAAGTGCATCGGGAGCCATCGTCGAAACGGACCAAAAGGCTTATCGGACCCATCGTCGAAAAGAGCATCGGGACGATAGTTGAAAAGTGAATCGGGACCATCGTCGAAAATTGCCTAGTAGTGTCGTAAAGGAGCATCAATACCATTGTCGAAAAGAGCATGGGGCCGTCGTCGAAAAGAACATCATGCAATAGTAGAACATCAGGGCCATCGTAAAAATGGGCATCGTGGCCATCGTAAAAATGGGCGTCGGGGCCATCGTAAAAATGGGCATCGGGGCCATCGTAAAAATGAGCATCGTTGCCATCGTAAAAATGGACATCGGGGCCATCGTAAAAATGGGCATCGGGGCCATCGTAAAAATGGGCTTCGGGGCCATCGTAAAAATGGGCATCGGGGCCATCGTAGGAAACAGAGCCATCGTGCCAAAAACCATCTTGAACGCCTTCCAAAACCATCGGGAACGTCTTTCAAAACCATCGGGAACGTCTTCCAAAACCATCGGGAACGTCGTACAAAACCATAGGAACGGTCGTCCAAAACCATCGGAAAATTCATCCAAAACCATAGGGACCGTCGTCCAAAGCCATAGAGGAAACGTCGCCCAAAGCCATAGAGGAACCGTCGTCCAAAACCATAGGGATCGTCGCCGAAAACCATCGGAACGTCTTCCAAAACCATACAGACCGTCGTCCAAAACCATAGGCACAGTCGTCCAAAACCATAGACACCGTCGTCCAAAACCATAGAAACCGTCGTCCAAGATCATAGGGACCGTCGTCCAAAACCACATGGACTGTCGTCAAAAACCACAGGGACTGTCGTCCAAAACCATAGGGACCGTCGTACAAAACCACATGGACTGCCGTCAAAAACCACAGGGACTGTCGTCCAAAACCATCGGAACCGTCGTCCAAAACCCCCGGGTCCATTTTGCAAAATCATGCTCCACGATCATCGAAACCATTCTCCACAACCATTGGAAGCATCCTTCTGTAGAATTATGACCATTGTCTAATAGCAGCAATTAGGATGGGAGGCAATCGTCAAGGACCTCGGCTAAAAGCTTTGAAACCTTGGTCGAAGAGCTCCTGGCCATCTTCCAAGATATTCGACATGACTGATACTATTTATATGAACGAAAACCATATCTGGAAAAATTGAAACATATTTTGTTAAATTGTGTAACACACCAAATAAGTTTATTATGTTACCATGATATATTTTCTTTTCTTTTTATGAAATTGCTCCTTTTGGTTGTGAAGTAGATTGAATATATTAATTTAAACTTTGAATTTAAACATAATTTGACTGTTAACATAAAAATCAGTTAATCAGAATTAAAAATATGATCTAAAAAGTATTAGAAAACAATTTAAGTAGGTGAAGCGCTAACCGTGTTCCTATTCATATTTCACTGATGATCGTAGAGTTGTTGATTGTTGACATGTTTACATAAAAGTACAATTTTCACTTTCTCGCCCTTTCTAGGTGAAATTTTTACGTAAGATTTATCGGGACATGAATTCTTTTTATCAGATAAGCATGACATTTTGACCCGGCAAAAACTTTCAAATTATGTATCTGAAAAATATTAAACAAATTGCATGATTCTTCATTTTTCTTTTTTTCGATTTTTGCTTTTCGATTGAATGGAAATTTTAATTTGAAGTATGCTTATTTCACGTGCTTCACGTAAATTATATTTGAACCAAACTTTCCGATCACTTAGCATAACTAGCTTTAATTAAAAAATAATAATAATAATTTTAAATGTTAATATCCTTTTCAGTTCTCTTAAAGGTCTTCATCAAAATAATTAGTAGGTACATAATATATTAAAAAAAAAAATCAAATCAATTATCCTTAAGTGCAAATCGTCAGCAATATGCACTAAACTAAAATACTAAATAAATCTACGTTTACACAAGTTAAATTTCAGTTTTCCTGTAGCTACCATCTGATCATCTTCCATTCTGCAATGTATCTTCGCATTCTAAGACTAAAAAATATTTTTTCATCCTATCCCTACGATATGAAATAAAGCAACTACAATTTGGAAGTTTTTAAATTGGCTTTAGAAAATATTGATTGAATTTGAATGATTTAACAGCTGAAAATTTAGTACATATTATAAAATTTGAACTTCTCGATCCAGTATTGGTTTTTCTATATTTTCTTGATAAATCTAAACATTAATTTTTCACGCATGATCACGATTTGAAGTAAAAAGACTTTATTTTTTTGTCATTCAAATGGTGAGAAATAACACTTCATGCTAAACTCAACAGAATTGAAAAAGAACACTTACGTTTCCACAGCTTCAATATATAAAGAAAAAACAATAGAAACAATTATTCATAAGTTGCAAATCGTTAGCAATATGCAGTAAACTAAAATATTAAATAAATCTACGTTTACACAACTTAAATTTCAGTTTTCCTGTAGCTACCATCTAATCATTTTCCATTCTGCATTCTGTATCTTCGCATTTTAAGTCTAAAAAATAATTTTTCATTCTATCCCTATGATATGAAATAAAACAACTACAATTTTGAAGTTATAAAATTAGCTTTAGAAAATTTTGACTGAATTTGAATGATGTAACAGCTGAAAACTTAGTACATATTATAAAATTTGAACTTCTCGATCCAGTATTGGTTTTTCTTTATTTTCTTGATAAATCTAAAGATTAATCTTTCTAAGCCACGCATGATCACGATTTGAAGTAAAAAGACTTCTGTCATTCAAATTGTGAGAAATAACATTTCATGCTAAACTCGAAACAGAATTAAAAAAAAAACACTTACGTTTTTGAATATTTCAAATAGAAGCTGCAGCTTCCACAGCTTTCTCTACATTTGGTGTCCTTTTCTCATGAATACTATTCAGTTTTCATTAGGGGTGTCGGACCCTAATGGGCCTAAAACCACAGGAACCGTCGCCCAAAACCATAGGGACTGTCGTTCAAACACACGTTCGATCGACGAAACGATCGACCAAAAAGATCGGAACGTCGTTCAAAACCATCCTGAACGTCTTCCAAAACCATCGGGAACGTCGTCAAAAAACATTGGAAAAAAGTCATCCAAAGCCATATGAACCGTCGTCCAAAGCCATAGAGGAACCGTCGTCCAAAGCCATAGAGGAACCGTCGTCCAAAGCCATAGAGGAACCGTCGTCCAAAACCATAGAGGAACCGTCGTCCAAAGCCATAGAGGAACCGTCGTCCAAAGCCATAGAGGAACCGTCGTCCAAAGCCATAGAGGAACCGTCGTCCAAAGCCATAGGAACCGTCGACCAAAGCCATAGAGGAACCGTCGTCCAAAGCCATAGAGAAACCGTCGTCCAAAGCCATAGAGGAACCGTCGTCCAAAGCCATAGAGGAACCGTCGCCCAAAGCCATAGAGGAACCGTCGTCCAAAGCCATAGAGGAACCGTCGTTCCAAAGCCATAGAGGAACCATCGTCCAGGAACCGTCGCCCAAAGCCATAGAGGAACCGTCGTTCAAAACCATCCTGAACGTCTTCCAAAACCATCGGGAACGTCGTCAAAAACCACTGGGAAAAAGTCATCCAAAACCATAGAGACCATCGTCCAAAGCCATAGGAACCGTCGTCCAAAGCCATAGAGGAAGCGTCGTCCAAAGCCATAGAGGAACCGCCGTACAAAAGAACAGGAAACATCGCCCAAAGCCATAGGGACTGTCGATAGGATCGTCGCCCAAAACCATAAAGACTGTCGATAAGGATCGTCGCCCAAAACCATAGGAACTGTCGATAGGGATCGTCACCGAAAATCATCGGGAACGTCTTCCAAAAACACAGGCGCCGTTGCCTAAAACCATAGGGACTGTCGCCTAAAACCATAGGGACCGTCGTCCAAAACCATCGGAACCTTCGTCCAAAACCATCGGTACCATTGTCCATAACCATCGGGACCGCTGTCCAAAATCATGGGTACTCGTGTCCAAAACAATCTGAATTGTAGTCAAAAACCATCGGGTCCAATTTGCAAAATCGGCGGAACCATTCTCCAAAACCATTGGAAGTATCCTACAGAATTATAACTATTGTCTAATAGCAGTAATCGGATTGAGAGGCAATCGTCAAGAACGTCGGCCTAAAAGTTTGAAACCTTGATCGAAGAGCTCCTGGCCATCGTCGAAGATATTCGGTGCTGTATTGCCGAAAAAATAACTCAACAATCGAAAAGTACTTATCTTATATCCTGTAATTTGATGTTGCCAAGTCACCATTCTTAAATTTTATTTCTTTTTGCTCCAATAAATTCTTATAATTTTCAGCATTTAATGAAACCAATGTAAGACCATGTTAATAATAATTTAAAGTAATTTTAATCTTGTAACATATGGTGCCATAGATTTTCTGCTGTTTGATCTTTCTTCATCATTTGAATTCGTCTTGAGACTGCTGATACTATTTATTCGAACGAAAACCATATCTAGAAAAATTAAAACACATTTTGCTACATTGTGTAACCCACCCAATAAGTTTATTATGTTACCACGATATATTTTCTTTATTTCTATGAAATTACTCTTGGTTGTAAAGTAGATTGAATATATTAATTTAAACTTTGAATTTAAATAAACTTGACTTAACATAAAAATCAGTAAATCAGACTTAAAAAATTTGATCTAAAAAGTATTAGAAAACAATTTTAAGTAGGTTAAGCACTAACTGTGTTCCTGTTCATCTTCCACTGATTATTGTAGAATTGTATTGTTTAATACAAGTACAATTTTCACCTTCTCCCTCTTCCTATGTAAAATTTTTAAGTAAGGTTTAACGCGACGTGCATTCTTTTAACAGATAAGCTTGACATTTTTTTTTCTAACAATTGACCCGGCAAAAAATTTCAAATTATATATCTGAAAAATATTATTAATATTGCACAATTCTTCATTTTTCTTTTTTTCGTTTTTTCTTTTCAATTGAATGGAAATTTTAAATTGAAGCATGCTTATTTCACGAGCATATAAGTTATACTTGAACCAAACTTCCTGATCATGTAACATAACTAGCTTTTAATTAAAAAATAAATAAATAATTTTAAATGTTCTGTAAATTAATGTCCTTTCTAAATTTTTCCAACCCATCCTTTTCAGTTTTCTTAAAGGTCTTCATCTAAATTATTAGTACACAATATATTTAAAAAAAAATCAAAACAATTATTCATAAATAAATCTACGTTTACATAAGTTAAATTTCAGTTTTCTTGTAGCTACCATCTGATCATCTTCCATTCTGCAACGTATCTTCGCATTCTAAGACCAAAAAAGATTTTTTCACCCTATCCCTAAGATATGAGATATAAAACAACTACAATTTAGAAGTTTTTAAATTGGCTTTAGAAAATGTTGACTGAATTTGAATGATTTAAGAGCTGAAAACTTAGTACATATAAAATTTCAACTTCTCGATCCAGTATTGGTTTTTCTTTTTTTTTTCTTGATAAATCTAAAGAGTAATCTTTCGAAGACACGCATGATCACGATTTGAAGTAAAAAGACTTGTCATTCAAATTGTGGGAAATAACACTTCATCCTAATCTCAAACAGAATTGAAAAAGAACACTTACGTTTTTGAATATTTCAAATAGAAGCTGCAGCTTCCACAGCTTTTTCTACATTTGGTGTTCCGTTCTCGTGAATACTATTAAGTTTTCAGTTGTATATTCCATGCAATATTTTCAAATTCTACAAAAGACCTAACGAATGTTTGCAATACTTAGAATCTTACCATTTGCGCATTTCTTCCGTATCCATCATCAACTTAGTATACAGAAAAAATTATTCAGGTAACCAACACAATAAAACTGAAAAATAGAATGTGTTTTGGAATACTTCAAAAGTCTAACCTGTAGCTTCCAACTCTCCTTTTAACTGTTTTAACATTACTTTATATTTGGCTTCCCTTTTGATTAGATCCTGTATTTGGTAACATCCGTGTAACATTTTCAAATACATTCTCAAACTCATTAGCTAATGTTTGCAATATTTTAAATCTTACTGTTTTCAATCTTCTTAACCATCCACTTACTATCCCTCAATCAGCTTTTCTTATAAAATTAACGGACCGCTATTATTGGGGAATTAAATTCCATAAAATTTATATCAGGCGGAATAAGAACTGAAAAATACAATTGCTATTTTGGAATACTTCAAAAGCCTAACCTGTCGTTGGTAACTCTCCAGTGTACTTTTATAACATTGTTGAATATTTGGTGTCCCTTAAGATTAATACTTCATGTATTTGGGTAATCCATTAAAATCTACAAAACACTAATAGATGTTTGCAATATTTAGAATCTTACCGATTCTGTATCTCTTGTGTATTCACCGATGAACTTGCTATATAGAAAACAGACTGCTACCACTCAGATAAACAATATTCCATAGATTCAAAATCAGACATAATATAACTAAAAAATAGAACTGATGTTTTCAAATACTTCAAAAGTCTAACCTGTAGCTTCCAGCTCTCCTTTTAACCTTTTTTTAAGATTGTTTCATGTTTGGGTAATTTTTTCAATATTCCTGGCCATCCACTTCCTAACCATCAATCAGCATTTAGTTATGAAATTAACGGATCGCTATCACTGTGGTAAAGGGGAATCAAATTCCATAAAATTGATATCACACACAACAAGAAACTGAAAAATACAATTGCAATTTTGGAATACTTAAAAAGCCTGACCTGAAGGTTGTAATTCGCCATTGAATTTTTGTAACATTACTGAATATTTGTTGTCCCTTTAGATTAATACTTCATGTATTTGGGTAATCCATAAAATCTACAAAACACTAATAGATGTTTGTAATATTTAGAATGTTACCGATTCTGTATCTCTTATGTATCCACTGATGAGCTTGGTTTGTAACACAGACTGCTACCATTTGGATAAAGACGAACAATATTGCATAGAATCAAAATCTGATGTGAGTATAACTGAAAAATAGAACTGGTGTTCTCGAATACTTCAAAAGTCTAACCTGTAGCTTCCAGCTCTCCTATAAACTTTTTTTAAGATTGTTTCATGTTTGGGTAATTTTTTCAATCTTCCTGGCCATCCACTTCCTAACCATCAATCAGCTTTTCTTATAAAATTAACGGACCGCTATTATTGGGAATCAAATTCCATAAAATTGATATCAAACTCATTAAGAAACTGAAAAATACAATTGCTATTTTGGAATACTTCAAAATCCTAACCTGCAGTTGGTAACTCTCCATTGTACTTGTATAACATTGCTGAATATTTGGTGTCCCTTTAGACTAATACTTTATGTATTTGGGTAACTGATGTATTTTATCCGTGTAAATTCTACAAAACACTAATATGTTTGCAATATTTAGAATCTTACTGATTCTGTATCTCTTGTGTATTCACTGATGAACTTGCTGTATAGAAAACAGACTGCTACCACTCAGATAAACAATATTCCATAGATTCAAAATCCGACATAATATAACTAAAAAATAGAACTGATGTTTTCAAATACTTCAAAAGTCTAACCTGTAGCTTCCAGCTCTCCATTTAACTTTTTTTAAGATTGTTTCATGTTTGGGTAATTTTTTCAATATTCCTGGCCATCCACTTCCTAACCATCAATCAGCTTTTAGTTAGGAAAATTAACGGACCGCTATCACCGTGGTAAAGAGGAATCAAATTCCATAAAATTGATATCACACTCAAAACTGAAAAATACAATTGCTATTTTGGAATACCTCAAAATCCTAACCTGCAGTTGGTAACTCTCCATTGTACTTGTATAACATTGCTGAATATTTGGTGTCCCTTTAGAAGTGTTTGGGTAACCGATTTATTTTATCCATGTAAATTCTACAAAACATTAATAGAGGTTTGCAATATTTAGAATCTTACGGTTTCTGAATGTCTGCTGTATCCACTGGTGAGCTTGCTATCTATAAAACACATGACTGCTACCATTCACATGAAGAGGAATAATATCCCATAGAATTGAAAGGCACCACAATAAAACTGAAAAATAGAATGCGTTTTGGAATACTTCAAAGTCTAACCTGTAGCTTCCAACTCTCCTTTGAACTGTTTTAACATTACTTTATATTTGATTTCACTTTTGGTTACATCCTGTATTTGGTAAAATCCGTGTAACATTTTCAAATACATTCTAAAACTCATTAGCAAATACGTTTGCAATATTTAAAATCTTACTGCTTTTCAATCTTCTTAACCATCCATTGTCTATCCCTCAATCTTTTCTTATAAAATTAACGGACCGCTATTATTGGGGAATCAAATTCCATAAAATTGATATCAAACTCATTAAGAAACTGAAAAATACAATTGCTATTTTGGAATACTTCAAAATCCTAACCTGCAGTTGGTAACTCTCCATTGTACTTGTATAACGTCGCTGAATATTTGGTGTCCCTTTAGACTAATTCT